GCCCGATGCGGGACTCGATCCCGGGACTCCAGGATCATGACCTGAGCCGAAGGCAGTCGCTTAACCAACTGAGCCACCCAGGCGCCCCAAGGAGATGTTCATTTTAATGGAGTCAGTGCACTCTCTCAGCCAACAGGTATCTAACCCTGAGGCCAGGAATTAGCTCCTCTAATTCCTCTGCACCCACTGCACCTGTTCCTCAGCCGGGGGCAGCACCCAGAGTGGGTGAGACATGGGGCACAGATGAGGGCCCCAGAGAAGGACAGCCCCTGCTGGCGGTATAATCCCTCCTGCCCACTGGCTCCCTGGTTGAGTGAGTATGTGCCTGCTGACTGGGTGTCCGGGCAGCAAGGAGTGGCTCATGGGGCACCTTTAATCCTCCATCTAAAATCTCCTCCCTTTCTGATATGCAGTACTGACAGGTTTTTCTCAATCTTATATGTCCTCGCAAAGCCCCACGTCTTCCAACCAAATTATGGCTCCTCAGTAATCCCTTTGCAGAAGTTCATCTCCTCCACTGAGGCATTGTCAATATGCCTTTCCAAAGGGGCACCCAGATTAGAGGATAAGCCAGCCCCAGTGGAGATCTCTGTCAATGCCAACCTTATCAGAGAACAGGCTAGCTGCTCTGGTCGCTGCTGGGTTATCCCCAACCTACCCCATTTCCTCCCCTTGCCCGTGGCCTCTTACCTTCCTGTGGTCACTGAACCAACAATCCTGTCGGAGTTCACATTGATGGTGGCGGAGACGTTCGTTGTCTAGAAAAGCAAAAGGGGATAACCCAGACTCTCAGGGGACGTAGAAATCTTGTTGGCTCCCAGTCCAGGAGACAGATCTTCAGAAATAGAAACCACGGCCAGATGTGGGACATGTGGGTGAAAAGCAGCTACCCAAGGATTGTGGGCTGAGGATGTGGGATGTTGGTCGCTCCACAGCTAACTTTAGGAAAGGTGAGCTAAGGTTTTAGAGGTTATAATGGAAGCATCAAGAAGGACAAATAAGCTCAAGCTAAAGACACAGAGCATTCGAATAGGGAGGCTCTCCACCAGTAAACATGACTGAGCTTTGAAGCATGCTACTAAGAGAAGTACAGAGAGTCCCTGAGCCTTAGGGAACTTTAAAGACACCACCAATTGACAACTGGGTGTGAGGATGAAGCCTGGCCTGTCGAGGGGTGGGGTTGAACCAGATGATTGAGTTTGGGGAATTTCCAGACATTATGTCTTTGAGTACTTTTTCTCCAGCCACTCCCAGTTTCTCCCCTCCTGAGACTCTGAGGACAGGAAGATGAGATCTTTTGCTGTGGTCCCATTGAGTCCCTGAGGCTCTGTTCATTTTTTCAGGCTATGCATTCAGATTGGATAATTTCTTTTGTTCTGTATCTTAATTCATTTGTTCTTTTCTCTGTTCCACTGACACCCCCAGCCGGGACGTTGGGGCATGTTGTTACAGCCTCATGCCAGTGTAAGTCTCGGATCCCCAGTCAGGCTTTACTGGCCTGGGTGGGGTTAGGGCCATAGCTTTTTCTCTGGTGTTTCGCTTTAGTAGCACAGTTATTGATTGTCTACAAGTTTTCTATCTTACGAGGTTGCCCCTTTTTTGGTCCTTTGGCTAGAGAGAGGAGGATGTTATTGGGGCTCTTTTTTGTTCATGCCTGTTGGTGTTTCTGGGTTGCCCCAAATTGGAATATGCAAGGCAAAAAGAAACCCCAGGGAGCTCATCATCATGTTATTCCTTAGATCCGGAGGCCCCTGGCTGATCTACCATTTTCTCTCTGCCTTTCAGAGTTTTCTTGTTTATTTTATACATAATGTTTAAGGTTTTGGGTTGCACTCAGCAGGAGTAGGGAGGGAAATGGACATCTACTCAATCTTCCCAGAGGAGGAAGTGTTTTGCCCATTTTGAAATTAGATTGTCTTTTCTATGACTGAGTTGTAAGAGTTCTTTATATATTCTGGATGCACGTCCCTCCTCATATATACGATTTGCAAATATTTTCTCTCCTTCTGTGGGTTGTCTTTTCACTTTCTTAAATTATGTCCTTTGAAGCATGAAGTTTTTAACTTTGGTGACATCCAATTTATCCATTTTTAATTTTTTTGTTCATGCTTTTGAGTTGTATCTAAGAAGGCTTTGCCTAACCCAAGGTCATGAAGATTTAGTACTGTGTTTTTTTCTGAGAGTTTTGTGGTTTTAGCTCTCACATCTGGGTCTCGGGTCCACTTGGAGTCAATTTTTGTGTTATGTGTAAGGAAGGGGTCTGGTTTCATTCTTTTGCATGTGGATATCCAGTTGCCCCAGCACCATTTCCTAAAAGCTTGTTCTTCCCCACTGAATTGTCTTGGTCCCCTTGTTGAAAATCAGTTGACTATAAATATGGCGATTTATTCCTGGGTTCTCAATTCTAGTCCGTTGATCTGTATGCCTATCCTTGCACCGGTACCACACTATCTTGATTATTATAGCCTTATAGTAAGATTTGAAACAGGGAACTATGAGTTCTACAATTCATTTTTT